ATTTTCCCAAAAACAAAATAAAAACCATCAAAGATACGACATCGTTTGAATGTTGACGTTAATTTTTATTTGGTTAAATGCTAAATTTAGTCCCTCAACTTTAAGAAATGCACATTTTTGATCCCTCAACAATTTTTTACATTTTTTAATCCCTAAACTCTAAAAATTGCACAATTTTGGTCCCTCCGTCAGTTAAGTATGATGTGGCAATTAAATAATTTCACGTGGCATTATCTTTTAATTTTTTTTGATGATGTGGCAATAATATATATTTTAATTATGTTATATAAATAAATAAAAAACACGTAGATTAATATTTATAATTTAAATAAAAACAAATAAAATTACCTAACTACCCTCACCCACCCAATCCCTCTTCTTCCCCTTCTTTCTTTCTCTTTCTTTCTTTCTTGCCTTGGGTCTCCACCAGGCTGGAGTCTGATGGCTGCGTCGAACCCAGCCGTTAGGTCTCGTCGAACCCAGCCTTGCTGGGTTCGGGGAGACCCAGCCAGGCTAGGTTCGACAAAACCTAGATCTGTTGGGTTCTGTCGAACCCAACAAGGTTGGGTCTCCCTTGCTGGGTTCCAACGAGACCTAGCAGGCTGGCTTGCTGGGTCTCGTCGAACCCAGCCTTGCTGGGTTTCCCCGAACCCAACTGCTAGGTTCAACGAGACCCAGCTGGGTTCCGATGAACCTAGTTCTGCTGTTTTGATGCTGCATTCATGTTTTTTTGTTCTTCTTTCAATTTTCATTTGCAGTTGTTAATAAATTTGAGATTTGATTGTATTTTTGTTGGAATTTGATTAGAGTTTGATTGGAGTTTGATTGATATTGTTTATTGAATGGTTAATTTGATTTGATAAAATCTACTGAGAGTTTGAGGCTTCAATGAAACCCAGTAGCTGGGTTCAATTTCTCAAGTTCTCTTGAGAAAAGAGAAGAAGAAGAAATGGGTTAAGATCAGTTTTGAAAAGGAGTGGAGATGAGAGAGCATTTAGAGAAGAAGAAGAAATGTGTTAAGATTGATTCTGCAGATGGAGTGGAGATTGAATCTGCAAGTGGAGTGGTGATTGATTTTGCAGGGAGTGAAGATAAGAAAGGAAGATGACATGTCGCAAAAAAAGTCCAAATCAACGTTTTTTTAAGTTATTTTTTGCCATGTCATCAAAAAAAATATAAAAAATGCCATGTGGTCGAGTTAACGACGAAAATTGACAGAAGGATTAACGGAGTGCATTTCGTATAATTGAGGGATCAAAAAAGTGCAAAAAATTGTTGAAGGACCAAAAATGTGCAACTCACTAAAGTTGAGTGACCAAATTTAGCATTTAACCTTTTTATTTTGATGCGATGAATGTTAAGTTATACTTGACAGGCTCACTCCTTCCTCCTCCTCTCTCTTCATACCTTCCTCTCCATCAATGGCCTCCAATCCCAACCTACTCTCTCAGAAAATACGACACTCAATCTCATCTCTCTGCAACTCCAAACCGCCATATGCTTCTTCTAACGCCCTACTTTCGGTGTTTCCATTTCGTCGCTCTACTCATCTTCCTCTAAGAGCAACCAATTCCCGTCCAATATCCGCCGTTACCGGTGGCATTAGTTTCTCTTGGGACGACATTGATCGAGTCTCTCAGCCGCAATATGCCCCGCACGATTGTTCTGATCTCGGAGGCTTCTTCGACAAAATCGGGATATGCAACCGTGGCTCGGTAAGAATCGGTCTCTCTTTTGTGGTTGGTGAGAAAGTAAGAGAAACTGGAAAAGGAAAAGTAGTAAAGACTAAAGAGAATAATTCCTGTGAGTCGTGGAAATTCATTGTGGAAGGTTCTTTTTTACATTAGCTAGACCTCTAAATCTTGATTTGTTTCGCATAGATTTTTCAGTTTTTTTTTTCCCCTCTTCAAACGAAGCTCTCTTTAGTTACTGATACAGGAAATATATTCGAGAGATTCAGGATATTGTCGTTCTATCATTTTCGGGGCAACCAAACAAAATGAACAATTTTGTTTGTTATCAGTTTTATACATTTCCTCAGCTTGCAATTCTTGGCGTAATTTGTTTGGCAAGAGATGTAATTATTGTTTATGGTTGAACTGTTTGCAGGAAATGCATTCTGAGTTCTTTCCATTTGTCATTGAGGGCCAGATTGTTGGTTACATACATCACCAGTAGGTTTCAAATATCTTGATCCTGTCATGATCAATTTATACTTTGGCTTCATATGTAAGGTTGATTATGATATTTATTAAATCTGGGCAGTTTTGCAAATAATTTAAGGAGTTTTCAGGAAGTGTTTATATTCTCTAAAGATAGCTCTTATGGGGGCTGCTTTGGCAGTCATGTGACATTACATCCAATGCTCAAATCACCTGAGGGTAAAACTGGAGCTGTAGGAGAAGTGATCAAATGCCTGGCTGAAAAAGAACTGATTCCGGGTATAAGGAACGAGGTACTGCTTGTACTGACTGAATAACAAATGGGATTCTTGTTCCTCCTTTTATGTGTGGCTGTAGAATAAGTATCTTCATCAATGGGCTGATTTTAAGTTTTATGTATTTGAAACAGCTGTACCCTGTAGTGTCATCGTTTGGTGCACCAATCTTTTTCTCCCTAGAACGGGCTGCTGCTCCTTATTTTGGAATAAAGGTGTGCTTATGATAGCGGCACTTTATTTTGATGCTTTCTTCTTTTTTCCATTTGCTTTTAATCTTTTGTAAGGATCTCTAGTGTTGAAAGAACAGATTTTCCCTTTTATTTCGATATGATGATACACTGCAAAGAAAGTTAATTGGTCCAACCCTAGCAAATTTGAGGTCCATATGTTAGAGTCCAACACCTTTATCTTTATTATTTTCAATTTCAGTACTCCTGAAATTTTGTAAATATGATAAGATGCTGCATTTAATGTTTCTGATAAATGTATCTTGCCTTGTCAACCTATTTTTTCAAGTGTAGGCTTATGGAGTTCACATGAATGGCTATGTTGAGAAGGATGGGCAGAAATTTCTATGGATAGGGAAGAGAAGTCAAGCAAAACCTACTTTTCCTGGGATGCTTGATCATCTAGTTGCTGGAGGATTGGTTTGTCACTACTTGCTCTTTGAATTTTTAGCTATACTATCAGAGTTAACATCCATTAAGATATTAGTCTGTTTCCTTGTGACAAAATGATTTTAATGAAAATTTCTGAATAGAGGATACACCAGGATGGATTTTTTTAAAGATACCTTTTAGAAGATGTATCCTTTTATGCTTTGTCTGGGAATGCTTATGGAGCTAGTCACTCCATGGTCATCATTTCAAAAACTATAATAACCCTCCCCATTTATCCCCTAAGAGTTCAAGGTAAGGCTAACACTAGATTCAGAATTTAGGCATTGGAAAAACAAATTTAGTTGTCATAGTTGTCCGAAGGTTTTCAAACTAAGGAAACCATTAAATAAGTACATAACTTGGCTTCTCTTGTTATACTTTGGTTACAATTACATACTTCAAATAATCAGATCATGGGAAAATTTTCATGAGATAAGTAAAGACATACACTACAATTACTCAAGAAGTATGAAATGTAAAAGCTGTCAAGTTCCACTTGTTAAGAACAGTCCACAGTACAGGCTTAAGAGTCCTTGAAGACAGTTTAGATACAACAAATAACAGAGCTTCAAAATAGATAACCAGGGGACTAAGTTTTACAAAAGAATATTATAGATATATACATAACTACCATAAAAACATAAGCCAGAGTTTGTTTGGTAATTTGCAGATTTATCTCACCCAAATGTTGTAGCCAGAATGGTCAGTTGACATAGAAGTGTCCTCTAGCTCCCAAAAACAGACTTGAACTTAGCAGCTCCAGTGATATGAAATGAATGGGAAAACAACCTGGTGGGCTTTAAAGCCCCATGCTGGAGCTTCTAGCTATAACTAGAACTTAAAACAGGTTATATAGCCATAGATTTAAATTCTTAGAACTCAGAAAATTAGAATCACTTGGCTAGGCATCAGATCCTAATCCTTCAATTCACTAGCTTGGTTTATATGACTTTAAAATGAAGCTTAGGCATGCTTATAAGTTCTAGTAATAGTAATCACATTCATTTAATAATGGATTTACCTTAGAGTCATCAGAACAGCATCAGCATGGCTAAGCTTTAGTTATAAATGGAATATCAATCATGCATGACACACGCTATGCAGTTAGAAAAATGTGCAGGCACTCAAATCTAGTGCTAGAGAACCTAACCTAACTGTGCAGTGATCAGAAATTGCTCAAACTTAAGCCTACGCCAGGAAACCTCAATAGCCAGAGAATAACCAACATGCAGAGCCTTTCTAGGCATGCAGAATACATAAACATGGACAACATGTTCCATCTAAGGTATATTCTAGAACAGAGCTGTTTGTAACTTACCAGCATAACACATTCGAAACCACAATTTTATAGGTCTTAACAGAATAATCTTAAGCTGTTAAGGTTAAGTTTCTACCTAATAGATCATAAGAGATGTCATTTCTGACTTGTAGGTAGAGTTGGATGCTCACACGACATAGTTTATTTTATGTAAGTTTTACCTCTAGTCCCTTTCGTAATTATTATTATACTCAATCTAGTGTCTGACACAGGTATACTTCAATTCTTTGACATGATGATTCTAGCCTCATGGGATTGCTTGCGGGGAGAATCTTATGAAGGAATGTGAAGAGGAAGCTGGAATACCCAGATCCATATCCAATAGGTACATTTCCTCAATGTTGAGTTATTGTTTCATTTTCCAATGTTTAGTGTGTGTTAGATTTGAAGTTGAATCTTGGAGTGATCAACATTGATGCTAATGATTCTTATAAGCTGATAAAAAAAATAATGATAACAACATAGATTCTCATAAATCACATCTACTCTCTTTGCTCGTACTCTTTCTGCCAATCACGCACATACAGCTTTCTTGCCTTCCTCTTTTCTTCAAGAGGTGTCACTGAAGATTTTTTTCCCACAGTGCAATACCAGCTGGTGCTGTTTCGTATGTGGATATTGATGGTTGTAGATACAAGAGAGATGTGCTATTTTGTTATGATTTGAAACTTCCTGAAGGCTTCATACCCAAAAATCAAGGCAAGTTAATGGAAACATAATCTCCTTTAGTTGTAAATACAAGTAGAACAGTATTTAAGTTAAATAATCTGTTAACTATTTTGAGCATTGATTGGCTAGAAAAAGCAACTTTGAGTGTTGCATCTCCTCACAATTGTTTGCTCCATATTTCATTAGAAAACTTAGCTCTTTGCAATGCTTTTTGGTAGAGAATCACATTTCTCCTGATTGTGCCAGATGGAGAGGTGGAGAGCTTTAGGTTGATCCCAGTGCCAAATGTTGCAAATGTGGTAAAAAGGACTGAGTTTTTCAAGCCAAATTGCTCCATTGTCATAATTGATTTCCTCTTTCGACATGGGTATGATTCTTTCAATTGGTAATTGGTAATTTTGTGCTCTGGAGCAGTTAGTGTTCTTCATCTATCCCCTAGTTTACAAACTCTTTTATATATTGGTTTTGGTCATCAATCCTTGCAGGTACATGAATCCTGAATATTTAGGATATTTGGATCTTCTACGAAGTTTGAAGAGTGGAGATTGCTCATGAATTTGCATTTTCTTTCTAGTATGTCCTTGATCCTTCCTGTTTTTGTTTTGGGAGGAAAAAATAATAATAAGCCTGCTAATTTTTTCCAGAATCAAAATTTTATTATCCAAATAATAAATAATTGGATTATACAGTACATAGTGACCTTTCTCAATTCATGCCGAGGGGTGGATATGAATTTAAATTGACATTTCTTAACATATCGGTTTCAATAGGGTATCTTTCTGTAACTTTCTTCAGGTTAAGAGGCTGTAATGGATTAAGTTATAAGATGATGTACTATTGATCATGAAAGGCGAGAGTAATAACTTGAACAAAGAACTAGTAACTCGTTCAATGTCAACGGCAGTCTCTCAGGAGCTTGGGCATGAAGACTTGATTTCGAGTTGTTGATCATGTAAGGGAAGAGTAGAGAATAGGAAATTTCTTTATCTTGCCAATAAAACATTGGTAGTGGTTAAAAACTAGGGGCCTTTGAGAATTTTTCATTTTTCGGCCTTCGGATCTTGAGAATATCCTAATAAAAATATAAATAATCTGATGAACATAAAAACGATGTGATAAAGGTGAAAAAAAAATACTATTTAAAGTTGATAAAAAAGAAGAAGAAGAAAATAACGATTTTTTTGATAATCATAAAAAAATTAATGAAATTATTGAAGTGGATCGTGTTGCCTCTATAGTTTGTACAGCAAACCGTACAGCCTCTCTTTCATAACTGAGGAGACGATGTCAACAAGTGTGCCCGTCCCCGTGACAAAGGATATGCTCCTAGAATTGCCGGTCAAGTCTCCGGTGAGATTCAAGTCAGTGTGCAGTTCATAGTGCACGTCTTCCATTTATTAGAAAACATTTACCATCTTAGCAACCAAATGCAGTGCTCAGAAGGTTCTTCTGTTTGGACCTCATAATCTCTTCAAATTCATGGATTACAATTTGCAATAACGCTTTGGGTGATGACAATGCCTTTGTACAGCACGGAAGCCCCTATGTTAAGTTCAGATTCCTGGGTTCTTGTAATGGCTTGGTATGCTACACTCTTGAACGATCTCTGGATTTCTTTTTGTGGAACCCATAAATAGCAGTGTCATAGGTTACAAGGTCTTGGTTATGATTCATCATCTGACAATTACAAATTTGTCTAAGCAAATTATGGTGAAAATAACCCTGTTGCAATCTTTTCCTGGAAAACTACAATAGTATGCCATTCACCCCTAAGAGATGAAGTCCCCTCAGGAGGAACCTTTTTAAATGGAGTTCTCCAATGACCGAAAACATGCACCTGTTTTAGTGACAAATTATTTGCTTTTGATTTAATGGGGCAAAGATTCAAGAAATTTTTTTAAAGCATACTTAAACTCAAATTTATTAAATAACTGAAGGGGTTTTGTTACCATTAAAATCAATTGGGAGTTCAACAAATGTAACCAATATAGTTGTTGGGAATGATGAACCTGATGATATCTAGGCTTGAATTGCTTTCAGGCATGCCTATAAGATATTGTCAATGGAGAAGCTCAGAAAATTGCAGATGATATGCGAGTGAATATGATTTTTCTGAATCATACTGACAGGGAGCAATGGTCCAGACCACAAAATTATGCAAAATTGTGGTTTTTCATTTGTGAACAAAATCTTAAACTTAGATGTCTTATGTTTTTGTTTTCTAAATGACTGTAGCTTCTTGACCTCTTGAGCAATTAGTGTCCTTCATCTGTCCCCTTAGTTTGCTTCCAACTCCGTTCTATTATGATTTTTGTCTTTAATCCTTGTAGGTACATATCCTGAATATTTTGGATGCTTTGATCTTCTATGACGATTGAGGGGGGATTACTCGAGTTTATCTTTTGTTTCTAGTATCTCCTTGGTTCCTTTCTCACTCTTTCTTTTTGTTAGTTACTCTTTTTAAAGAATGCTACTTGTTTTCCCTTAATCTATTTCTTATGATCCTAAAAAAAATCTAACGATGCATTAGACTGCGGATAGATACTGACCTTTTTCTTTGTTCTGGTATCTTTCTGATTCAGACTGAAGAAAAGGTACCAAACCAATAATTTTGTATGGCCAAAAAAAAAGAACAATAATTTTGGTTTAGAATGAGTAGATTTCTGCGTGTTGCTTTAGGTTGAGGGGTGACAAGGGATTAAGGCTGCATATAGGATTGCTTTCTCATGACACATCTTAAAAATGTTAATTTTATTATAATTATAAATAACTTTAATTATTCTCGTCTTTTTTTAGTTGCTCTAGTCCTCAATTTTATGTAAATTAATTTGATAATTTTATATAGTAAATGAATAAAAATTAAAAAAAATTAATTTAAGTGAAAATTTTCAACAACTACTACATCTAGAAATTAAAAAAATATATCAATTGTATTCTATTTATTATATAAAACTATTCAATTAAAGTTAATGCAAAAGTCTAACTAGAACAACTAAATCATATCAAAGAAAGTAATATTTTGTGAGTTATGATTCACTTACATACAAATTTTACACATTATATTTATATAAAACCTTAATTATTCATCTTTTTATTTTTAATAATTAATATTTATTCATTTTTTATAATATTTATTAAAGAATTATCTTTTGCACTTACAAATTCATTATAAATCTCAATAATTGAAAGTAGAGATATGAATAATTAAAATTTTATATACAAATACTATATAAAATTTATATATAAATAGATTTCTACTCAATATTTTGTATATTTTAATTATTATAATAATATAATATTTTTCTCAATAATTTTCATGTCAAGGTTCTTGAGGTAGAGAGATCTATTATCCATCTTCCTATTTTTTTAGGCTAAACTAGTACATAAGATCTCAAACTTACATTAAATTTTTAATTAAGGTCTCTAAGTTTTATTGCACTCAATTCTGAAATAAGTTCCTAATCAGACAAAATCCGTTAAGTCCATTAAATATTTTGTTAACACCATTAAAATTATTAAAATTAATTGGTTAAATGACAAAATAGTCCCATGCCTTTTAATTTTAGCTTTCAATAATCTTAAAATTTTAAAAAACCTCAAAACACTCCTTAAACTAATTCTTTTTGTTGATAAAGAAATTTTTTAAGACTCATAATTAAAAATTAATTTTAATTATTTGAAACAATTTATTATCCTTTATATGATTTTATTAAAAAATTTAATTAAACATGAAAAAAAAATTTTGAGTTTGTTTTTGCCCTAACAAATTTTGAGTGGGTCTCACATATTTACATAGTAAATCCATTCATGAAAAAAAAAAAAAAAACCATAAAAATTGAGGCCCAAATATATTGCACTTTAATTTTTAGTTGTGAGTCTTACAAAAATTTCCTCATAAACAAAGAGAAAAATAAATTTAAGAGCTTTTTGAGTTTTTTAAAAGTTTTAAAGTTATTAAGGTCATCTCTTTTGATGATGGCTATCTTATCTCTTAAACAAAATATGCTTCTAATCTTATATCTAAAGCTGGACTCACTGATAGTAAGACTACATTTACTCCTCTTGAGCCAAATGTTTGACTTACACCCATGAATGGTTCTCCATTAGTTGATCTTACTCACTACAGACAGTTGGTCAGAAGTTTAATTTATCTCACTATAACACAACCAAACATAGCTTATGTAGTTCATGTTGTTAGCCAGTTTATGTCTACACCTTGCTCCATTCACTATGCAGCAGTACTTCACATTATTCGCTATATTAAAGATACCATTTTTCATGAACTCCACTTTTCTGCTCATTCATCTCTTGAACTTCATGCTTACTCTGACGCTAATTAGGCTGGAAACTTTAATGATCGTAAATCCACTACTGAATATTGTCTTTTTCTTGGTGATTCCTTAATCTCTTAGCGTAGCAAGAAACAAACAATTCCATCACATTCTAGCACAGAGGCTGAATATTGAGCACTTGGAGGCACCACATCAAAGTTAATTTATATTGGCTACTAAAAGATATGAGTGGTCCTCAACTGCTTGCTACTAATCTTTATTGTGACAATTAGAATGTCATGTAGATTGCTCATAATGATATTTTTCATGAACGCACTATACATATTGATGTTGACTATCACTTTGTTCGCTATCATGTTGCACAAGGAACTATTCATTTGGTTTTCATTGGCTCCACTGATTAACCAGCAAATCTTTTCACTAAAACTCATTTTCCTAGACGCTTTTGCACTCTTCTTTCCAAACTCAAGTTGGTTTCATCACAACCACCTTGAGTTTGAGAGAGGACATTAAGATACAAACACAATAATTTACACTTATTGTAAATATTTTATACCTTTAAATATTCTCTTTGTATACTTTATATTGTAGAATATTCTCTTTCTAAATATTTATATATATGTTATTGTATATACAATATTATTCAAGAAAGTAATAAACCTTTTTTTAAATATTTCTTCTTTTTTGTTTCTAACAATTATATAGAGGATGAGGCTGGCTGATTAGTAAATAAAGTACTCCAACGAGGCTACGACCAATTCA